ACAAAACTAGTATAGCCTTTCACCCTTTGGGTACAGGCTATAAAAAAAATGTTGATCGATTTTACCTCTTATGGTATTCGAACTCACGTAAAGGATGTATAATTGCACATATACAAAGCAATTGCGTCTATGTGAGTGTATGTATGTATATGCTCGTATATTCGTGTCTGTGTAAGCATGTTCGCAGTCAACCAAGGCACCAGCATCAACAACCCTCGCGGGCAGCGCTTGGGCAGCGCTTGAGCAGCGCTGTAGGAGCAAATATATTTATGGCTATAACTTCATGTTGAATCGGTCTATCATAGGGAAACTTGGCATACGGACACATAATAACTAACTGAAAGCATTTGCAAAATTGGCGTTCAAAATTCCAAGAATTACGGGAATTAGAAAAAATCGATTTGCCTTGGAGAGGGGGGTGGGAGAGAAATTCCAAAATACACATTTTCTGCGTATTCACATAAGGCATCTGGGACTAAAATTTGGTGTCCGTAGGTCTTATAATCTACGAGATATAGGCGATTATACGAATGGAAAATCGGTGAAACCCCCATAGGGGGGAAGTGGGGGGAAATTAAAAAAATAAAACAAACTCGTATAGAATACACACATAACGCATCTTTTTGCAAAATTTGGTGTCTCTATCTCTTATAGTCTCTGAGATCCAGGTGTTCATACGGACGGACAGACGGACAGACAGACAGGGCTAGATCGACTCGTCTCGTCATGCTGATCAAGAATATATATACTTTGTGGGTTCTGCCACGCCTCCTTCTGCCTGTTACATTTTCAGCTCCCGCAAACCTAATATACTCTTGTACATTTTATGTACAGAGTATAATTATACATAAAATAAGTGCTTAAAGTATGCACATTTGGATATTTTGGATTTTAAACTTTTAGCTAAAATGTCTTACAACAGAAGAGATTTTGGAAAAATCGTCAAGTATGGTCAGTGCTTAGGAATATGACTTGGAGAACAGCCTAGGTGGCGAATTAGTGCAGTTCGCAGAGCTGCTGAAAACAGATGTGGCTACTGTTATTGACAGCAAGAAACAGGAGCCTCTGGAACAGCGATTTTATAAACTAAATAAATTTTATAAATTAAACTATCAGGTATTGCCCGTCTTAACCCGGCTCAATATGTTTCCAATTGTATTTATTTTGTGTGTGCATAACCTACCCATATGTTTTCACCTTATAAGTTACCAGTAGGAAGGCATTTAAGGTATTTAAATGAACATTTTCTGTTCTTGACAAAAAATTTTTCAGTAGTCCGTTACATTTTTGTTCTTGCCAAACTATTTCGTTAAACGAACATGACCACTATAACTAATATTTTTTAAAGCTGGTTTTCCCCCCTTTGGAGCTGGAATTTTCCAAAAGCCTTTCTTAGTGTGCTCCTACACTATGATGGATACTATGAAAAGATACTTGAGTCCGAATTTCATCTTTTACCGTTTGGGCTGTGCGTTGATCACTAATTAGTCAGGACAAACTGTTTTATATATAGAGATAACGCAACGTTTTAAGATAGACTATGTGCAAAAAAGGGGAATAATTATAAGGGTATATCCTAATTTTAAATTCACATTTGAGTCTTTTCGTGCCATATTGAGTCAATACGGTCACGCACAAACTCGGAATATGAAACACGGCACTCCTGTCAATGCCGTGCAGCGATGAGCCTCGACAAAAAGCACTGACAATTCTCATCTCAATTTGCTAGAGTAAAACTTTCGATAGTTGAAGCCACCGATACCATCAAAATATCGAAGTTTGAATGCAATAAGCAGAATATTTAAATAATAAAATCTAATTATTTATTGAGATTAATAAGAACAAATCATATACATACATACATACATCTGCCCGCAATGCGAAGCAGAATATTCGTAGCTCCGTTATTCGGTTTCTGCTTTACTATCGCTTACGCAGTCGTTGCCTAGCGACGGTAACTGTAAACTTTTGGCGTTTTGCCTTTGCAATTAACATTAAATGGTAAAAACGAAAGAAGTTGTTGTTGTTTTTAGAGCATTAGTTTTTTTACAATCAAACAACTGTGTTCGATTGCCCAATGTATACATTAATACGAATGTACATACATGCTATATTCATACACATGCATACATACATACATACATACATATGTACATATGTATGTTTCTCTTTATTTTCAACCGTACGTAGAGAACCGCACACATAGACACGAACTGTTGCTTGTTGTGTGTGTGAGTGTGTGTATGTGATGTCCCCAATTATTTGATATTTGTTGTTGCTGCATAAAGTTATTAATGAAAACCCTAATGCAAAATGCACTAAACAAAGAAAAAATTACTTTTAAAAATGTTATATAATTTTCAATTAATTAACATTTCTTGCTCTGTCAGTGCAAGACGAATGTACATACATACATATGTAGATACATATGTACATACATAGATGTGCACATATGTATGGACATTCACACATTAGTGTCTCACATTTTGCTTTGGCTATTTCAATCGTTTGCACGCAACTACACGAACAGCTGTTTGCATGTGTGTGTGTGTGTGTATGTATACTTAGTTGTCCCCAACTGTTTGATATTTTGTATTGTTTGTTCTGCCTGCTTTTGTAAAATGCATATTTTGAAAATCCTTGAATGCAAAGTTGTAGATTTAGTTACGTAGATTACATTACCCAAATTTTAAATCGATCGGACTAAATTTATAACACAAACTTTTCATTTAAAATAGTGAATAAATATTAAAACCCAATAATTCAAGCTCCAACACAAATTTCGAAAATCTAAGTATGCAGTTTTGTTTGTGTTCTTTAATTGATTTTAGAAACTAAGTTTTAAGTTGATCGGTTGAAAAATGCGGATTTTTCAAACAAACTTTGGAGCTACTTTTCGCCCCTTTGGAGCTCGAATTTTCCAAAATCCCTTCTTAATGCACATTTACACTATGATAGAATACTTGAGCCCAAATTTCAGCTTTCTAGCTTTTACCGTGTGGGCTGTGGGCTGTTGACGCGGTTTGCTTTTGTGCCCCAACATTTTTTTACAGGAAAACTCCCATATTTTAGGCCCCAAAAAAAATATCAAACAAGTAAAAAAGCTAAAGTCGGGTGTCCCGACTTTGAAATACTCTGTACATATGTTTACAATAATTATAGAAAATAAAAATAATTTAGGAAATAAAAAAAAATTGATCGATTTTACCTCTCTCGGTATTCGAACTCACGTAAAGGGTTTATAATTGCACATTTACATAGCAATTGCGTCTGTGTGAGTGTATGTATGCCTATGCGCATATATTCGTGTCTGTGTAAGCATTTTCGCAGTCAACCAAACAGCAACATCAACAACAGCCGCGGGCAGCGCTTGAGCAGCGCTGCAGCAGCAAATATATTTATGGCTATAACTTCTCGTTAAATCGGTCTATCATAGTGAAACTTGGCATACGGACACATAATAACCAACTGGGGGTATTTCCAAAATTTTAGTTCGAAATTCCAAGAATTACGGGAGTTACGATTTGTGGGGAAGAGGGGGGAGGGAGGGAAATTCCAAAATATACATTTTCTGCGTATTCACATAAGGCATCTGGGACTAAAATTTGGTGTTCCTAGGTCTTATAGTCTCCGAGATATAGGCGATTATACGAATGGAAAATCGGGAAAACCCCCATAGGGGGGAAGTGGGGGGGAAAATCAAAAAAATAAAACAAACTCGTATAGAATACACACATAACGCATCTTTGTGCAAAATTTGGTGTCTCTATCTCTTATAGTCTCTGAGATCCAGGTGTTCATACGGACGGACAGACGGACAGACTGACAGACGGACAGACAGACAGACAGGGCTAGATCGACTCGTCTCGTCATGCTGATCAAGAATATATATACTTTGTGGGGTCTGCCACGCCTCCTTTTGCCTGTTACATTTTTCAGCTCCCGCAAACCTAATATACTTCTGTACATTTCATGTACAGAGTATAAAAACCAAGTATACAGTTTTTATTGGAATTGTTCTGAGAGTATACTAAGTTTGAAGTTAATCAGATGAAAACTGTAGATTTTTCATACAAATGTTGGAGCCTGTTTCCCCCCCTTTGGAGCTCGAGTTTTCCAAAATCCCTTCTTAGTGGGCACCTGGACTATGAAAGGATACTTGCGTCCAAATTTCAAACTTCCAAGCCCTTACCGTTTGGGCTGTGCGTTGGTCACCAATCAGTCAGTCAGTCAGTCAGGACAAACTGTTTTATATATATATAGATAATTCTTTAGAATGTGTTTCCCAAACTTAGAAATTGCCTTGCTCATTTACTTGTCTCTCATGATCACTAACTGAAGTGGCAAACGTTCTTTTTCAACATTAAAACGTATTAAAAATGAATAAAGGATCACGATGGACAAAGAACGTCTTAATCATCTCACTTTGTTGAATATAGAGCATGATTTGCTTAGAGAAGTCGATATTGAAATTTGCCCACACTAAATCCAGAAAAGTTTATTTCTAACAGTTTTGTTTTATTTAATACCCTAAACTTGAGAACCTAAAACAAACCAAGGAACCCGACAGAATTTGTTGCAGGTCCCGCGCTGGCTTAATCCGGCACTGACATAGGTGTTCAAACGGATGGACAGACGCACAGTCGTGTAGACATGGTTAAATCCACTCGTATTGTCTTTCTGATAAAGAATATATGTATGTATGTATGTATATACTTTGTGTATGCTACCACGACTGTTTCAATCTGTTACATTTTTCACATTGCCAAACCTATTATACTTGTATGTTAACACTCTAAACACTACACACAACCACAAAAACCTAAATTACATTGCTCAACTAGATTTCCATCCTATCACAGTTGCTTTCGAAGCACTGCAACCATTTCGGTAATAAAACGAATTGTGAAGCATAATTAAATAAATATATTTTATGAAATAGACACCCAAATGTTGCAACTTTCAGATATAAAGTATATCAGGGAATTTTTTCTGGTTACCGTTATCAGTTCGTTTTGTTATGTAATTATCCGTAGAAAATGGTTTCATATGGCTGTTACTTTCGTTTTTAACATCTCCATCCTCACTGATAGTTCCTTTAAGTACGCCTTCTTCGTCTATAGAATCACTTGACATCATAGCTGTGGAGGCCGATGTATAAGAGGCTACTTCAGAAACGGAATCTTTGGCTTTCCCGTCAGCATGCGATATGTTACAATTGTTCTTCACATTTTTGTTAATTGATTCATTATGCCGCTTTCTTTTGAGATAATTTCGAAAATTTCTTTGGATAATGTATACACAACTTAAATATGGTTTGGTAATATTAGTATTGATTGGTGTATTTCTTATTTTTCTAGTACTCTTTTGCTTTTTGCTCAAATATTGACGAAATGTTCTTTGTATAACACAAGCGGCATAGGCAATCTGTTGGATATTGTTAGTTAACAATTTTTTTTTTATATCATTTATTGTTTTCTTTTCATAGTACTGATGTTGGATGACGTTGTTAGCTTTTATATGCTTTGCACTGAACTTTGCTGATCTCGATTTACTACAATCTAGATTGTCTTTCATCTTTGCGTGTCTTTTTTTCTCTAGATACTGGCGAACACGTTTTTGTATAATATAGACTGCGTTTATGTAGTTTGCATTCTCGGAATTTATGCTCCTAAAGTTAGCCGTGTGTTTTTTAGCGTTTGATGCAGAGCAGTCCAACGTACGCCCACACATACACGTATGTTTTTCTTTAGATATCACACTAGACTTATCTTTAATGTATCTTTCATATTCACTATAGCGAATGAATTCCTTGTGATCCGACATAAGAATTTGTAATTTTTTGAAATATTCCAAAGCGTAAGCGTAAATATTTTCGGGTGTTTCTTTTAAAATGGCTTTAATAAATTGTTTAAGAAGAGTCGTAAGACTATCAGGAATTATATTTTGTACTAGTGATAGTGGGATTTGTTCTTGAAAGCGATTTTTCATAATTGATTGGTTATTTTCCTGGGACTCATATCTATGAACCATAAAGTGTACTTTTTCCAAAAATTGCACCTCAAAATATTTCGCTGAAAAATCGTACAGATTGATCGGTTTTACCCGCAAAACTTCTTTTGTAAAATTTTTCATTAAGTCTCGGAGACCCTCCGGAACTCGCGGTAAGTTGGGTCTAATCATATTATTAAAATGCTTGAAACTGTAGTTCCCGTACGATTTATCAATACTGACAACAAATAATTTTCTCCTGTGTCTTAAAACTCCAATGAAAAGTTTTGCTTGACGTTTCTATGCCAACTATTACCCAAAACAAAAAACCGATTATCTGACAGAAAATTTCCCACACCTTGCACCTAAATGGGTAAATATGTTTTTTAGTGCGACTGTATGTAACACACAAAGGAGGTGTGGCAAAGTATATATATTATATATTAGATCTCAGAGACTATAAAAGCTGGAGAAATCAAATTGTTGTACGAGTTAGTTTTATTTTTTTGACCCACCAGTTACCCGATTTTGGGATTTTCCCTAACGTCACTCATATAATAACCTATATCACAGAGACAAAAAATACCTTCATATAGTGATTATGTATTTGTTTGTTACGTTTTTCACTTCTCGCAAACCTAATATGTACATTTTAGGTACTACAGAGTAAAATATGAATATAGAAATGGTATTACCATATTTTTGAGCAGCGATTGGGCAGTGAAGGCTGTTCTGGTCAGAGCACCTACAAGTAGATAATGTTGACGGACTGGGCCAAGAAATCTTCCGATTTTCTCAAGTCTTCTGTGAAGGAAAATATTCAAATGAGGAACGAATTACTAGAAATCTAAAACTGGAAAATTCATCATTGTCAAATACGAGTATGTACGAGTATTTTTCTAAACTATGATTGATGGTAAAGTTCTAAACGTTCTTCTTTAAACTTAATTTTTTTCCTTGATACATCTTTTTGCATTCAGAAGATATGAATTTTGCAATGAAAAAAGTCAGAAGACCCCACTGTGTGCTGTTGGGACCAAAACTTGGAGTTAGATCCGACGTCTAGTTGCATCGGACACAATATGCCTGTTATTTTAAGCGAGAATATATCATTTTAAAGGTATATCATTTTAATGGTATGAAATTTTAATGGTATATAAGCTTTTGTGTGTGGAATGTCACGAACAGACTTCATAGGAAAACAATTAGGCCATCAATCAATAATGAGAACAAGACGCATTGCGCAGGTCCTTTTTGAACAAAGGAAATTACTGCAACCTTCTTGGTTTCTTGATGAATTTTGTCCCGGAAATAATGTATAATATTTTAGGCGAAAATATATATTTTTTTAAGAGTATATAAGCTTTGGTGTGCCGAATGCAACGTAATGACCTCCGATGTAAACAAATAGGTCATGAATCAATAACGAGAAAAAGACGCATTGCGAAGTTCGATTTTAAACAGTAAAAAAGGAGCCTTAGAAAATTCGAGTCACGAATTTGCAAAACAAAAAAACAAGTAAAAAAGATAAAGTCGGGTGTCCCGACTTTCAAATACTCTGTACATATGTTTACAGTAATAATAGAAATTAAAACAATTAAGAGAATTAAAAAAAAAAATTTTGATCGATTTTACCTCTTTTGGTATTCGAACTCAAGTAAAAGGTGTATAATTTCACATTTACATAGCAATTGCGTATATGTGAGTGTATGAATGTCCATGCGCGTCTATTCGTGTATGTGTAAACATGTTAGCAGTCAACCAAAGCACCAGCATCCACAATAGCCGCGGGCAGCGCTTGAGCAGCGCTGGAGCAGCAAATATATTTCTGGCTATAACTTCTTGTTAAATCGGTCTATCATAGTGAAACTTGACATACGGATACATAATCGCTAACTGGGGGAATTTGAAAAATTTGAGTTCGAAATTCCAAGATACGGGAGTTACAATTTACGGGTGAGAGGGGGGAGCGAGAGAAATTCCAAAATACACATTCTCTGCGTATTCACATAAGGCATACATTTGGTGTTCCTAGGTCTTATAGTCGCCTAGATGTAGGCGATTATACGAATGGAAAATCGGGAAAACCCCCATAGGGGGGAAATGGGGGGGGAAACAAAAAAATAAAACAAACTCGTATAGCGTACACATAAAGACATCTTTGTGCAAAGTTTGGAGTCTCTATCTCTTATAGTCTCTGAGATTCAGGTGTTCATACGGACGGACATTTCATGTACAGAGTTTAAAAATGTAACAAATAAAATTTAAATTTTTATAAGCAACTAGCAGGTATTGCCCGTCGTAACCCGGCTCAATATGTTTCCAATTGTATTTATTTTGTGTGTGCATAACCTACCCATATGTTTTCACCTTAAAGGTTACCAGTAGGAAGGCATTTAAGGTATTTAAATGAACATTTTCTGTTCTTGACAAAAAATTGTTCAGTAGTCCGTTACATTTTTGTTCTTGACAAACTATTTCGTTAAACGAACATGACCACTATAACTAATATTTTTTAAAGCTCGTTTTCCCCCCGTTGGAGCTAGAATTTTCCAAAAGCCTTTCTTAGTGTGCTCCTACACTATGATGGATACTATGAAACGATACTTGAGTCCAAATTTAAATTCACATTCGAGTCTTTTCGTGCCATATTGAGTCAATACGGCCACGCACAAACTCGGAATATGAAACACGGCACTCGTGTCAATGCCGTGCAGCGATGAGCCACGATCAAAAAGCACTGGCACCGATACCATCAAAATATCGAAGTTTGAATGCAATAAGCAGAATATTTAAATAACAAAATCTAATTATTTATTGACATCAATAAGAACAAATCATATACATACATACATCTGCCCGCAATGCGAAGCAGAATATGCGTAGCTCCGTTATTCGGTTTCTGCTTTACTATCGCTTACGCAGTCGTTGCCTAGCGACGGTAACTGTAACATTTTGGCGTTTTGCCTTTGCAATTAACATTAAATGGTAAAAACGAAAGAAGAGCGAGCTAATGACTTGCAGTTGTTGTTGTTTTTAGAGCATTATTTTTTTTTACAATCAAACAACTGTGTGTGTATACATTAATACGAATGTACATACATGCTGTATTCATACACAGGCATACATACATACATATGTACATATGTTTCTCTTTACTTTTTCAACCGTACGTAGAGAACCGCACACATAGACACGAACTGTTGCTTGTTGTGTGTGAGTGTGTGTATGTGATGTCCCCAACTATTTGATATTTGTTGTTGCTGCATAAAGTTATTAATGAAAACACTAATGCCAAATGCACTAAACAAAGAAAAAATTACTTTTAAAAATGTTATATTATATAATTTTCAATTAATTAACATCTCTTGCTCTGTCAGTGCAAGACGAATGTACATACATACATATGTAGATACATACATATGTACATACATAGATGTGCACATATGTATGGACATTCACACATTAGTGTCTCACATGTTGCTTTGGCTATTTCAATCGTTTGCCCGCAACTACACGAACAGCTGTTTGTATGTGTGTATATGTATACTTAGTTGTCCCCAACTGTTTGATATTTTGTATTGTTTGTTCTGCCTGCTTTTGTAAAATGCATATTTTGAAAATCCTTGAATGCAAAGTTGTAGATTTAGTTACGTAGATTACATTATCCAAATTTTGAATCGATCGGACTAAATTTATAACAAAAACTTTTCATTTGAAATAGTGAATAAATATTAAAACCCCAATAATTCAAGCTCCAACACAAATTTCGAAAATCCGAGTATGCAGTTTTGTTTGTATCCTTTAATTGATTTTAGAAACTAAGTTTTAAGTCGATCGGTTGAAAAGTGCGGATTTTTCAAACAAACTTTGGAGCTCGTTTTCCCCCCTTTGGAGCTCGAATTTTCCAAAATCCCTTCTTAGTGCGCATCTACACCATGATAGGATACTTGAGCCCAAATTTCAGCATCCTAGCTTTTACCGTTTGGGCTGTGGGCTGTTGACGCGGTTTCCTTTTTTTGTGCCCCAAGAAAACCCCAATAATTCAAGCTCCAACAAAAAATTATAAAAACCGAGTATGCAGTTTTCTTTGCATTCTTTAATTGATTTTAGAAACTAAGTTTTAAGTCGATCGGTTGAAAAATGCGGATTTTTCAAACAAACTTTGGATCTCGTTTTCCCCCCTTTGGAGCTCGAATTTTCCAAAATCCCTTCTTAGTGCTCATCTACACCATGATAGGATACTTGAGCCCAAATTTCAGCATCCTA